ACTTTACACTTGAAACTGATAATCACCTTAAATTTAGTTTTTTTTTTTTTTTTTTAAGAATTAAGTCATAGATTAAATTATAAGCATAAAAATATTTTAAAATATTTTTTTATAAAGTTATTACATATAAAAAACTAAAAAAAATTTTAAATTAAACTGCTTTTTAGATTGTTGCTCGTTTTTAAAATATTTTTTTTAATGTATGCAAAATGAAATTTAATTTAAACTATTAACTTATATTTAAATAAATTTGTAATTATAAATTACATTTATTTATTACTTTTTTAATTAATGTTATATACTTTTTATAATAAATCCAATTTAATTTTTTAGATAAATTTTTTTAGAATCTCTACATGAATTAATCAGTTTTTTATTTTTTGTAAAAACATACTAAAATATATTATTAAATCATAGGTATAAAAATGTTGAAAAAATAATTATTATTATGCTTAAAATTATTATATTTATATTTAAATAACGTTTTATTATACAATGTCAAGCATAAACTATGGAAAAATTTATTAAAAGTTTTTAAATTAAATTAATTTATAAACAAAATGACACAAAATAAAAGAAATAGTATCTAAAAAAGTCCCTTAATATATGTCAATTTTGAGAAAAATATTTTAAGTTTTAAGAATTTTATTAGATTTTTAAATGCTTTTAAAACTAATAAAATTATTTCATTAATTTAAATAAAATATTCCTATTAAGTAAAATATATCCAAAAGTGGCATTTTTTATGTATTTTAATACAGGATTAATTTATAATATATTTAAACTTAAACAAATTTTTAAAATATGCAAACATCTATTAAAAACAAAGTATTTTTAAAGAAAAATAGAAAAAATGTCATTAAAATGAAAGTTCTTTTAACTGATTTAACTTCTAAAAACACGTTTAATGTTCTGTAATTCTAATTCATTGATAAGAGTTGAAGTAATTTAAAAAAAACCTTGCGTTTTATTTGAATGCAGATTTAATTTTTGTTGTATTTAGAGCGTAACAAATTCATTTCGCTCCAAAAACTAATTACACTTTATTCATTATATTAGTTATATTCTTCATTGAGTAAATAGAAAAGCATTCTTGTAAAAAATTTACTTTTCCAATAAATCACTATCTAAATACCCAAAAATAATTTATTTGTTACTTAATTTTCAAGGAAAATAATTATATTTTTTGGATTTTATTTGTATGAGTTTATAGTTAAAAATTAGCACAGTAATTTAAAGAAAAATGCAAATAATTAGTTTCACTACGAGCACTTATAAAAGTAAATAAAATTTAAAAATCGAACGAAAAATCGAAAAATTAAGTTAAATTGTTGATAAATGTATTAAAATTATATTTAAAACTGTAGATACGAGTAAAACCTCCCATTGTGACCACCTCTACTTTGTGCCCATAGCCCATATGTGACGATATGTTTTTGATCTCTTCCATACAAATCATTCTCTGATATGTGACCATTTGCATAAATCTAGGCATTCAAATGAAACTTTTTTTGCCATTTAGAGGTGCTTTCTTCGTCCTGTTCCCGGGAATTCTATTATGACTATCACTAACTAGTGAAATGTAACAAAGAATTAGTGTGACTGGAGACTTTTATGGCAACTTAAATTCGTTAGTAGAACCGTAAACAACCATAAATTCCAGCGCAAATTCTGAAATAAATAATTTTTTGACAGTTAACGTAGTAACGTAAGCTGATGAAGACCTTTGAATAACAAATGACTTCATCAGGTTACAATTACTTCGAATATCAAAGACGTTCTGCGAGTGTCTTTGAATATTCAAAGTAATTTAGCCCGATGAAGACGTTTTATTAAGGTCAAAAAACGTTATTTATTTAAGAATTTGTGCTGGAATTTACGGTTGTTTACCGTTCTGTTTATAGTTTTGGTATTTAATTCTTCCATTCGTTTTGAATCCTTTTGTTCTTCATATCTGTTTATCTATTGTAGATTTTCAGCATTGTTATTTTTTGAAAGGAAACATTTTCAGGTAAGTTAATAAGGCTTACTTAGTTTTATGTAACCTCGTTTACATTACTATTGTATTCCATATTTTCTGTTTAGATCACGTAAACTGAAAATTGAAAATCAGTATAGCCTACTTAATGATAAATATTACATAAGACGAGTAAACAAAAGATGATTATCAAAAGCATAAGCTTCTTGTTTTTGGTCCACCAATGGCCGAGTGGATAAAACCACTGAACACATGGGTTTGCGTCTCACCAACGGCCTAGTCTCGTGGAGTTTTCCGCATTTTCTTGTGCCTAACATTTAAATACGGCCACTTTCTCATAGAAGAACATCTCTCATTGGAGATCTTTCCCTTGGCAGATCGCCCACGTGTTGCATTGCTTTATATAATCAATCCAAACCAATTTTCTTGTTTTTGTATGTTGTTGCAGTATTACAAAATTTTCATGTTGAGACACAAGTTATAAATGACAGTTTTTATTTTGTTCCCATCTCCCATACGTCACCACTTTTAATTTTCCTCGAGAGTGATCATATATGGGAGGTTTTATTGTAAATTTCTTTTTAATTTTTGATAGTTTTTTATGATAATTATAAAAGTTTTTAAATATGTGAATGAGTACTGAATGTCCAAAAAATATCCTAAAAATTCGAAGCATTTAGCTCATACCATTTTCGAGATATTTAAAAAACAAATTTACGTTCATACAGTTACTAAAAATCATATTTTACTTTGTTCAAAATCAAATGTGCGATGATCCTCTAAAAATATATTAAAAATATGAAATTTTTAATTCAATTTTTGAGATATTTAACTCAAAATACGAACAGACATACAGAAAAATTACTAGAAAGCTTATTTTGAAAAATCTCTTGAATGTGTGATAAATCTTTAGAACTATCTAAAACAATTTGAAATGTTTAATTCATTTTTCCAGATATTTATTGAAACGTATGAACAGACAACGTACAAACCGCTAAAATCCACATTTTATTTTCTCAAAAAAGCACATGAATGTTTAATAAACCTCTAACAATATCTTTGGAATTTTTATCACAAAAGTTTTTCAAGATATCTAACGAAACAGACGAACAGACACACGTACAAACTGCAAAAAAAGTTAGCCTATACTTTTTTTTTTTGCTTAAAATTGCAGGAAAAAAAATGATAATGTTACCACAGTCTAGCATTTATAACCATCAAAAGCATAAATAAAAAAAAAAACAACTTAATTGATAAGCTTCATAAATTTTTGATTATTTATAACTTTCAAAAAAATCCTAGACTAAGTTTCACCTAGAAATCCAATGAACAAGTTCCATTACCCTATTTATGAAGGCACAGTCCAAGGTGAGAGGGGCCTTTTTTTGATTCAATTCCTGGGGTCATGATATAACCTTTATTCCTCAAATTAATCTCTCGAGAAAGAAATTTTTTTGATCGCATCCATCAAAAAAAAAAACTTAAATTAATTATATTTTATATTATAGAAACAAGAGACTTAATCCATTAGCGAATTTATAGGGGTTAATTGGTAACTATTAGAAGCAATTTTTCAAAAAACATCCATCTCGATTAAGATAAATTACACTTCATCTATAAATACATAAAGTATAGATTCTAAAAATTAACTTAATTGAATTTTATTCAAGACTTATTAATATAAAAAAGCGTAAAATCTGTTATAAAGCTACAAATTTTTAAAATTTCAAGCAGGATTTGGGATTTTTTAGACGATTCTTTTAAATGGAAATATAGTAAATTCCATTGTCGCAATCCATCATTTAACGGTTGATATCTTCAAATAAAACGAATTTTAAAGAAATTTCCAACTTTCAATTGAATTTATTAGATGTTGGCACGACCTTGAACGAGAAAAATTTGAAATTTAGATATAAAAAAACACCTTCTTGTACTGTATACATTGCGGATAGTGTGTATAGGAAAGGGGGGCTTTTAATAGATAGATAATTATAGTGGGGTGGACAAAATAAAAATCAATCTGATATTTTCGTAGAAAGTTACGTGAGATGATTCTAAAAAATCTCTCAAATATTTAACAACTTAAAGGGTTTTTTTTAATACTTTTTATTCACGCCATCTCTCAACAATACTTAAACTCATTGATCTTTATAAAAGTTAGCGTACTTAGTAAATTTTCTTTATAAATTAAACAAAGTGTCTTGTTAAATTTGCATTTTAAAAAGTTTTTCGAATATTTAGCTTAAAAAATACAATAATTTATATATATTGATAGAAATGGCCTTTGTAATAAATAGGCCAAGTAATATATAAATTTGAATAGAAAATGATATCTAAAATATCAAATTTTTTGGATTTTTTTAGTGTAAAATGTAGTTTTAAATGTTATTTTTTGTTATTTGTAATATTGCCTCTTATAATTTATAAATTTTGTAATAAACATGATGTAAAATTTATGTTTTTTTAAAAATCCAATATTTAATTTTCATTGAGAAAAATCACATTTCGAAATACTGTATTTTGAATAAAAATAATCACTTTAAAATAGAAAACAACGCCGTAATTCTTAATTTTAGTTTAATTTTTAAAATATTTTTTGAAAGTAGAGAATTTGTTGTGAAATATTCACTGTTAATTACTTTAAAATGTTCTAAAAATAGATAAATATTTTTATTTTATTTTTAAATTTTTTATCTTTCAAAGAAGCAAAATTTCTAAAACTTTTACATTTTAAATTTATTATAAGTTTAAACTTTCCTCATAACCTTTTTAGGTAGATGTACAAGTGAGATTACATCGGTTCTTACCTGTCAGGTAAAGCAAACGTGGCTCCATCTAGTTGCGAAAATTATAAACAAAAAGTTTATATGAGATAAAAAAAAGTAGTAAAAAGTACAAAAATTTTCGGTTATTCCACCGCTGGTAATACTCAACTTTCTCGATATTTTTGTAAATACTTTGTTATAGTTTTGAAAGAGTTTTTACATTATAAAACAGTAAAAGTTTTATACATAATTTTCCATTGGTGGTCAAGTTGCGTGGCCTCTCCAATAAGAAACATCGTGAGCGTTTCAGTCACGCTGTCGAGTATTTTTAGAGGAACCAGAGAGAAAGAAGAAACAGGTTTTATCCTTGGGGCCAAGTACAACCCGGATCTAGCACAAAGTAGATCATTTCCCGGTGTAGACGTACTAAAAATCATTATGTTCCACATCAGTTAACGTACGAAATGACTAGAGAAAAAGTTTGCATTAAGTTGATTTCTAGTTGATCTCGCGCTCAAGTGAAAATTTCTGACGTATTTCATACAGTTAAACCAATACAAACTGTGAAATTTGTACAGACCATGTGACTTTAGTGGTCTATTTGAAATGGACAAGTTCATTGACTGCTTCAGGACGCAACGAAATAGACAAAAATAATAATAAAAAAAACAATAAGAAATAAAGGGAAAACGATTATTTTCCGTTATTTCTACTCGTCACTTCTCAACTATGATTCTGCTCGAATTAAGATGATTCATTTGTTGTTCTAAGAACATGATAAAGGATAACCATGCATGGAATATGCTTGTTTTATTCATCTTTATTGGATTTATCTTCCAGGTAAGTGGATAAATTACTTAAAACGCGTTAGAACTTACTTTAATACTACTCTACTCTTAAAATTTAACAACTACACCTGAATAAATCTCCAAAAAACGAATCTAAAGTATGCTGATATGTTACATAAATGATTTATCATATAATTCTAGATATCATTGTGTGTGGAGGTGGAATTATATTTTCCAGAAGAGGTGACAAATATTGATAAAGGAACGTTTACTTTAGATTATTATCCACCAGAAGGTTCACCCCCTCCTAATTTTACCTTTGAAGTTTCCTCTGTTAAAGAGGGGTTGACTGTTTATAATGTCACTCCCGGGACTGAGTATGTTTTCCAGATATATCACACTTCAGAAACTGTGAATAATGAGTTAATATGGAATAAATTTGTGACTGTTGGTAATGCTTGTTGTTATATTTTTTTTCTATAAAAATTAAGAATTTTCTTTGTGATATTGAAAATGTATAATTTCTATTTTATTAGAGCCAAATCCACCTCTCAATTTAACTTATGAGGTCCATTCTGGAAAAGTTGTTCAGCTGGCTTGGAAACCTCCTTTGGTTGGTGGCTACACGGATTTTAAGTTAGTGAGACTACCTCTATTTGAAGAAGACGATGCGACTTCTAAGACATTTTATCTCAATGAAGGAGCTTCCCCATTTACTTTACAAGATTTAATACCCGGTGCTTCATATGAAGTCAGGATATATTCTTTGTTTCAGGGAAAAGAATCAATCAAATATACCTCAGTCAACTTTACCACAAGTAAGTTTTTAAAAACATATTACATTAGGTATTCTTTTGGATGTAGAAAATATTATCTTAATGAATAAAAGCAAAATATTGAGTCAAAGTGTTAAATTAATTCTATTTTGATTTTTTATATGTATTAATCATCAGTTTCATTCATTCTTTGTACTATAATAGTCAACTAAGCACAATTTTTCATTATCATAATTGCTTAGTCTCAAATTTTGAAAGATGAATGCCTTTTAAAAATAGTAAAGAAGTCATATGTAGTAAAAAATAGTCTAGTGAAAAAAATTTAATAGCAATCATACTTTTAAGTATGTCTTGAATCAATTAAATAAATTTTATTTGTTTTTTATAAAAATAAATTTTGCTTACTACATAAAATATTTTTATAGAGTTATATAATGATTTATATTGTTATATTAGCAAAATGCTATCAATAAATAAGTCTGTCTAAAAATATATTTTGATTCTATATGATAAAAATTTCAAGTCTTATGGAAAACAATAATGACATATGTTAATTTTTCATATATTTCAGATTATTCTCACTTTATACTTTGTAATAATTAGTCAAAATTATATTCTGGCTTTTAAACATGCAGCATACGTGCCCCAATTTTTGAAATTTTACTCAAAAAATACTAAATATTCATAACTTCATTGATAAGATAATCGGTCAGTTTTTGTTTTATTGATAAAAAAAATTAGTGATGATGTAGCATATTCATTGTAAATTTTTTCTGAATAAATACATNATTTTAAAAATGTTAAAACAAGATGTTGTGAATTGAGAAATTTATATGTTATGAACATTGGATTTTTTATTATGATAACAGATATTTGATAATGTATGAAAATGTATTAACTTTTTTTGTATGTAACTTTTATTGTAAACCCCCTGTAACAAGATTTTTTCTTAATACAATAAAACATTTGTATAATAATTATATCAAACACAATATATTTATGCAAACCATAATTTTATTCCAGCCATCCAGTTAAGTTAAAGGATTTTGCAGAACATTATTGCATGATGTCTGCAGATTCAGATTTTAGATTTGCAGAAGAATTTGAAATGTTGAAACATGTAGGTCGTGACAAACCATGTGTAGCAGCTGATTTACCTGTCAATAGGCCAAAGAATCGCTTTACAAACATTTTGCCTTATGATCACTCTCGGGTAAAATTGCTGCCAAGTGATGATGAAGAAGGTTCAGATTACATCAATGCAAATTATGTATCTGTAAGTACTTATAAAATATGTCAAATTTACTTTTATAAATATTTAACAAACAAAATTAAGTTATAATCTTTTCATTAATGTCTTACTTTATTATAAATATGTAGATGAGATTTAATTTAATGGTTTGTAATAATCTAGAAAGTGGTTTCTAAACCATTTTATAAAATAAACTATTCTTTATTATGTTAACATATGTATCATAAATATATATAATGTTTCATTTAGATTAAGTCTTTAATTCAAAACTCACTTTAATAAATTTACTAACAAAAATGTACTTCTCTATTACTGGAAACATATTAACATCTAATCAGAGAACCTCTTCAGCATCCAGTAAAATGTGGAAGATGAAACAAATCACAATGTTTTACTGGATGCTGAAGAGGTTCTGTGATTAGATAATGTAAATTTACTAGTACCTTTTTCATCCAATTCCAGTTGTTTATATTTAATTTAACTTTTGAATTATGCTGTATTTACTTTATTGTTAAAATTTGCAAAATTAATAGTTTTGCTGGCAGCAGGGCTGTGGAGTTAGAGTTGGGAACAATGTGTCAACTCTGACTCCAGCATTTTAAATTTAATTTAGTTTTTTTTTTATTTAAATGAAAGAAAATTTATTTTATATTTTGTTATAATTTATTTTAAGTACAAAATGCAACAATTTAATTTATTAAATATGTATCAATAGTTTNATGAACATAATTTCATATTAATGTAATATTTGCTTTATGCATAAAGCACCTTTGTCATCTCCAACAACTTTACTGTAATTCTTTAATTTTAAGAGGTACATTTTCACATTTTAATGTTTATGGAATCAGGATGTGTCTTATATTTGATGTCAAAAGAATCTTGCTCTTCCTGATTGTCAAACTGGCAAGTTCTGACATAAAACCTGCATATGAGTGAACTTTGTACTATCTGTTCATCCTGTTGTCAATTCATTTATGTTATCAGGTAGTAGTACTGTACCATACATGTGTTGAATTCAATTATAATTTAGATTATGTTTTCCATTTAAGGTGTATTTAAAAAATTACATTATGATGCAGTGTTGAAAGAAAAATAAATAATAAATAATTATTTTTTTCATCTTAAAAAATTAAGAAAAGAAAATATAATAGCATTAATTTTTAACATTATTAAAAGAAAAATTAATATGCAAATAATAAATTTTAATGTACTAAAATTGTATATTCATCCGAAAAGATCAAGGTTTATAAAAAAAAAATGATTTATGCATATAAAAGTTGCATTAAAAACTGATCTGTAAGTTACCAAATTCTCTGATGTTCTTATTTAATCTTCTAACAGATTTATTCATCTTATTCTGCAAATAATTAATTGCATCTTAAGTTTGTGTAATAATTAAATTGCTAATTTTGTTAATAAATACATTAAAATCTGGGCTTAATAGAAAGTCTCAGGAGCTGAGACATTGTTCACTTAGGACAGATGATACCTGTCTTAATAAGACAACTATCTGTTTAAAAAAATTCCATATATTTTACAATATTCAGCAGTTTTCAAATATAAAGTTCAAATACAAAGTTTTGTTTCATAAAATAATGTGTAATACAGTAATCAAAATGACTACAGATAGCCAAAGAATCAACAGAATTATTACAGTTTTAGTGATAATTAATTGCCATAATTTAATACTAAATGTAATAATTAGAAATTAATGATTAATTAATTTAGAAAATTAGAAGAAAAGATCCTGTCTGGAGTGCACTCAAGCTAAAACTTTCATTCATTCATTCAATATCTTTATTAACATACTACTGTGAGAGTACATGCCCGGTACCACAATGCATTGCTATGGTTTGATACAGGTAACAATGTAAGATACAGTAAAAATGAGTAAATATAACAGAATGCAATTACAAATATAAATAATTGAATGCAGGATATACAACAGACGTGAGTATTTGAGTGAGTACATAAGAGCTAAGCCTAATTACATAATAACAGGTATAGTTGCCATAGAATACAAATAAGTACATAATTAAATACACAAATATTGTACATAATACAAATCAAGCTAAATCTATTGCAATCTAGGCTACCCAAACAAAATTGTTGCCAATTTTCCCAATTGAACTCACTTGGCTTATTTTAATTCTGTCATTCTTGCTGCCTTTTAAATTCTTCAAGTTTCTTAATGTTTTCCTTCCATTATGCTTGTGCTAATCTTATAATGTTTGGTGCACAGTGCCAGGATAATATCTAGAAATGAACTGTGAACACTTTGATAAATTTAAAAACACCAAAAATCCTGTGAAAAAATAGTAGAATGCTGAAGATATGAACGGTAATTTTTAATGATATTTATTGAAAGCATAAAATCCACTGTTCTCTACTTATAGAGGTTTTAGAGAATAGAAAATTATCAGTGGCATGTTTTGACATTTGATGATAGGGTAGCTGTAAGAAGCCGACTTACAGGGGCAATCAGTTAATTGCACATCAGGGTCCATTCATATTCATTTGTTCAATAAGCCAGTAAAAACCGTACACTTCTTTAAATGTATTTTTAATAGATTATCTGACATACTTAATAAATAAACAAGTTCAATATAATTACCTCTGTTATTAGATTCAATAGATTCCCTATGCCCTCTAAATGCCAATTCTTGCTTTGAGAAAAACATTATAACTTCTATAACTCAAACTGCACTTACTATCATAAATCAAAATTTTTGAACCTGAAGAAGATCAGTGAAGCTTTGTCCGAAAACGTTAGTTGGTAGCAAAATTAAGCTGCATGTTAAAAGTTTACTTCAAGCATTTTGATTTATGAGAAAAACATATAACATCTATTAATTTAGATACAATATATCTATTAGTTCTAATTATCTTGTTATAATTTTCAATATTTATTTTATATTGTTTACTAATGTTAAATTCTATTCTGCTTTGATTTCCAAATTGCTTCAATTTTATGAAAGAATCAATGTGACATTTACGATTTTTGTGTTTTTTGCCAGCTTTACTCAAATTATTTAAATCATCAAAGCCATTCTTATTCCACACACACTTCTACATTCTGTTTCCTGCCCATAAGTAAAAAGGATATCTGTTCAATTTGCAGTCTTTGTTGTTTCAGAAATAACTTCCATGATAATTTATACCTAGGCAATGCCTGGCTTACCTGCTAGTTCTCTTTTAAATGAATTTGAAATCTGTTACATATTTCATCCAATGTTTCTATACATGTTACATTGAACTTATCACCCATCACATATATCTGAGTCTAGATTCCCATATCAGTATTGAGACTTCCACAGTTTATCTTCAGTTGTATAAATTTGGTTTCATTCTCATCCTTCATACTTGTTAAATTTATTGTAAATTGGGCTGTCTGTAATAAGCATTACTGTTGTTAGTCACATAACATTGCTGTTAGGCATTTAATCTGCTCCTTAAGCTATCAAAGTTGACTGCAAGACTATATTATGAAGCACTATATATCAAGGCTATATGGTGCCTAATGATAACTAATCCATTGTCTCTCACTTAAATTTATTGAATTAATACTTAATGATTTGAAATAAACTTTTGCTTCAAACAGAATTATATTTTTGCCAGAATTAAAATTTGGTATAAATTAAGATAGAACAATTAAAATATTTAAACATATTATTTTACAACTGAAAGATTTTTATATACTTTTCATCCAAATTATATTTATGAAGCTAAATACTGTGATTGTTAAAACTATACAAAAACTTTATATATAAAATTATATTTTATAGGTCCCAGGTGACATTTCCTCTGGAAAAATAGTAACTGACATTATAAATGACTTAGTTCCAGGAGAGTTATATAAATTTCATTTTTATGTAGTCAGTCATGAAGTTAAATCTCCAGAAGTAATAATCAATGTTCGAACAAGTAATGTTTATTGTTATTTATTTTTTGTTAAAGATTCTTGAAAAAAATTTAATTGTTTTACTGATTTGTTAATTTCAGAACCTGAAATTCATTCAGTAATTCATACTGTTAGTTGTGAAAAAGATTCAAGAACTCTAAGAATTAAATATACTCCAACACCTACTAAAAGTGTTGTGTTTGACAGATATCGTTTTCAACTATTAGGAACAAACATAGAAGAGCAAGAAAAACTGTTTAATGATACAAATCGTCTTGTAATATTTAACAACTTAATACCAGGACGACTTTATAATATAAGCATCTGGACAATTAGTGGAGGAGTTCATAGCATTCCTCAGCATCGTCAAGCAAGATTATGTGAGTACTTTAATGATTCTATAAAGTATTTTCAAAAATAATTTAGCAAGTTAGTAATGATTTAGCTTATTATATTGTATATAAAAAGATTATCAGTAACAATAATAAACTTTGGTAAAAATAATTGAAATCATAATACAGTTGAATCCACTTAATAATTTACTTAAAAGTGCACACTTTCTATACCTGATTTTCTTTTATGCTTTGTTAGTGTGACTCCTGTTAACAGAGCATCTGATAATAGAGTAGTCGATTTAAATGAGCACCATGGGGTTTTTTAGAGCATCAGTCTGCATAAAGAAGCACAGTTCTAAGAAGATTATAAAGGTAGCTTTAATCTTGCAGTAGATCATCACCCAGGATTTATGGCAACAGGACTCTTGAAATGACAGTATTTGTTGAAATATGTGATATTGTTTAAAGAAAACAAGTAGATGATGATGAGGTTGAATAGGACAGTGATAAAACAGAAATTATTATTATTTTATTCTGTATAATACTTCCTAAAATTTTACCCATTGACTTTCTAAAAATTTTCTCCCCATGTTATCTATAGAGCATTTGACTTATATCATTTCTTTGATACATAACATGAATATTTTTTTTATTAATTATGGTTTTATATCTGATATATTTAAAAATGATACTTGTTAATAAAATATTAGAGTTTTGTATTTACAGGCAAATTAAATAGGAACTTCTTTAATTAACAATATAATAATTGTTACAAGATATGTTAAATTAGATTTTATTAATCATGTTTATAGGTCCAGAACCTGTTGAAAATATTACAGCAATTGCTGTTACTGACACTGATATCATTTTAATATGGAAAGAACCATTTGGGGACAAAGATGGATATGAAGTTCAATATCAGGATCATGAAGGAAACTTAGTGAAGAATGTTACTCTTAAAGAAAAGATATCCTATAAAAACTTACGTCCACATCATAATTATACATTCTTGGTTACTGTTCTAAGTGGTTACAACACATCTACCATTCAACGGAGCAAACCTGTTTCTGAAACAATTCATACAAGAGAATCTGGTAATAAAAAGTTTGATTGTTTCAATCACAAAATAAATCAATTAAATTATGTTAATTACACCAATTAAATTTGTGATTTTTAATTAAATAGTTCCAGGAAAAGTACAATATTTTCAGTCATTAGATGTGAAACCAAATGTAGTTACTTTACAATGGTCATTATCATCCAGTGATCAGAATGGTGTACTAACAGGTTTCAAGATAACTTATTATTTAAAGGTAATTTCTTATTAACTGTACAAATTTTAGTTATTATTTTCACATAATTTTTATTTATTTTTTAACACATACAAAACAAAAACTGTTTATAATGAAGACTGTCAGCCTATTACTATGTGGATCTGGATTTGTTCCTAATCCAGATTCATATAATTTATCATAAAAATTTCAGTTGGGGCATCATTTCCCATCTTTAACCTGCATTGACTGACTTTATTTGAGTTGCATTCACCCATAATGGACTTAATTGTGGCTAGCCATAATGCCTTAATTCATTAAGCTGTAGCTTAATAGCTATATTGTTTAGAGTGAACAAATTTCTTAATTTTATCACAAATTATAGCATCTATGTGAGAAAAAGGATGATTGTCTTGCTTTTTTTTTTTTTTTTATCAAAGTAACAATTTCTAGATCTTTTATCACTACAACTTCAGGTAATAAGTATTAATTTCAATTAAGCATCATATTTAGATATGAATATCAATATAAAACATTTCAATTTTTCAAATAGAATTGGAAATATAAAATAAATGTTCCAGCAAATAAAGATTATTGAATATTTTTTTTTTTAACAATTTCTTATGCTAAATTAAGGTGAACAACTTTTTTCAATGAAAAGGAAGACACAAATAAACTGATAGAAAAAATATCATAAATAAAAGTAATATTTTATTCATTGCAACAATAATACACTATAATAATCTCTACTGCATACGTATGTGCTATGCCGTGTTTCGGTAAGAAGTAAACAAAGCCACTTGTGCATGGTGTGCTCTCTCAAGGTCTCCCATACAGAGCACATGCCTCTCATAATCGCATCTTGTCGCACTGTACCAAGCCTTGATGAATTCTCATGACAAATACAAACATGTCAAATCACATGACATGCAATGGATTGGCTTAGCATTGATCAAATATGAAGATTTACAGATTAGTCTTCAAATACAGTGGAACCCGGGTTAACGAATGACCAAATCGGTTAACAAACTTTTATTTTGCAAAAATTTTGTCTCGGATAACGAACTTAACGGCTTTTTGTGTCAAATTTGTAAGCTTGCCGACTTTTAGGGAAAATCAGTTAATTGTGTGTCGGTGATGGTCTAGGATCCATTCGCATGTTGGTGGTGGCGGAGGAGACAAAGATGACAAGTATTTTACAGTGAAAATCGTTTATTAGAATGGGAAGATGCTTACATATTTGAGGTGGTTGGAAATGGCTTATTTACAGTATTTTCTCCCGGCACTGAGGAGTGGCGTATCGCTGGTCCTATGATAGTGCAAGCTGATCAGTTGTAGCCCCAGAGTGGATGAGATGGATTTGCTTGGTCACAGAAGCGATGGTAGGGGACAGAGCTGCAACAACTGGAGCGTTCCACGAGACACAACACAAATTTTAATGGGCACGACTTCAGGCTTAATCCAGATGAAGACGACACAGATTAATCCCCATAGAATTTTTAGGAAAACTGCGTTTTGACCTTGAGATTCGAGGTTTTTATAGTATTTCTTCCTTGAATCTCACCTTACGATTAGTCCTGCGTCCCATTCCTCACTTCCCTATTGTTTTCTTCTTTGTCTCCAGGTGAAAACCGAAACCAGATCAGGTCACGAGAAAGGTTTGTTCCAAGGCGTTTATTTGACACCTGTTTGTCGACTCTGATCGAAGATTGTTGATAAACCTATAAGCCTTTCGCTCATAATTTAGCCTATTGTTTCTGCTATCTGTCATTTTATAACTTTAATGATCGTATGCGATGTTTTTATACCCGTCAAATCGTTCCCCTTTTCCGAAAATTTAACCTAGATCGACTGTTTATGACCGCTTCTGTCAGAGTTTCATCTTCCCCACAGACATTCCACCTGATCCGTTATGTCATTCGTTTTTGCATCGCGTTTGTTTTGACAACTACAGTTTTTTTCCTTACTTCTCCCTGAACTTTGGTCCAACTTAACAATAGTGTTTTTGCTTTTAACATGTGGATATTAAATTATAGTTTCCAGCCGTTCTGGAACCTCACAAATTTCAGTTGGTCTTAGGCATGTGCGAGGTAAGCATTGCTTTTTCGAGTGTGCTAAACTTCGTTTTTTAGTTTTGTTATTTATACTGTATATTTAATCAATATGGCACCAAAGAAAAAGTGACAATGGAAATAGAAAACGTTTTAGTGTAGCATTAAAGAAAGAAATTATTGCAAAATACGAGAATGGCATTCGTGTTTCTGACATCACTAAAGAATATAATGTGGCAAAATCGACTATCTGTACAATTATTAAAAACAAAAACATTTAAGGCTGCCGAAGTGGCTAAAGGAGTGAATGTGATAGCAAAACAAAGATCTAAAGTTTTAGATGAAGTTGAAAAACTGTTGCTAATATGGATCAATGAAAACAACTTGCTGGAGACAGTGTTAGTGAAGCTATAATTTGTGAAAAGGCTAAAAATTTATACAATGATTTGTTGACCCAGTACACCCAGTACAAGTGCAGACAGGCAGGACTTTAAAGCGAGCCAAGGGTGGCTTGATAGGTTTCGTCGACGAACTGGCATTCACAGTGTCATAAGACACAGGGAGGCTTCAAGTTCAGATGAAAAAGCAGCAAAAACATTTGTAGATGAATTCGCAGAGTTTGTAAAAAGCGAAGGATACATCTGGAATCAAGTGTTTAATTGCAATGAGACCGGTCTTTTTTGGAAAAGAATGCCTAGATGAACTTACATAACCCAAGAAGAGAAAGCACTTCCTGGGCACAAGTCTATGAAGGACAGACTTACTCTTTTATTTTGCGCTAATGCAAGTGGTGATTTCAAAATCAAGCCACTTTTAGTCTACAATGCTGAAAATCCCTGTGCCTTTAAGAGCAAAAATGTGATAAAGTCCAAACTGCCTGTACAATGGAAGGCAAATAGTAAGGCAAGGGTAACTTGGACTTTATTTATGGATTGGCTCACAGAAGTGTTTGCTCCTACTGTTAAAAATTATCTTCAGGAAATGGATCTTCCTCTTAGATGTCTTCTCTTAATGGATAATGCTCCAGCACATCCACCAAATTTGGAGGACAGCTTGGATAGTGAACATGACTTCATCAAGGTCAAATTCCTTCCACCCAACACATCTCCATTACTGCAACCAATGGATCAGCAAATGATTTCCAATTTTAAAAAACTGTATACCAAGGCACTGTTTACCATGTGTTTTCAGATTACAAATGATACCGACTTAACTCTTAGAGGTTTTTGAAAGAGCATTTTAACATCCTGCATTGTATCAACCTTATTGACAAAGCCTGGAGTGAGATCTCTCACCACACTTTGCAATTGGCCTAGAGGGAACTTTGGCCAACTTGTGTCCCAGAGCAAAACTTTCAGGATTTTGAAGAAGAGAGCTCTCCTGATATAGTGCATGAAATCGTGTCCATTGGCAAGAGTTTGAGAATAGAGGTTAGATGATGCAGACGTGGAGGAGTTGCTGAAAGACTATCAAAATGAACTAATGACAGAAGAGCTGGTTGCCATGCAGGAAGAACAGATGAAAGTCTTACAAGAAGAGCATTTGTCAGAGGAAGAGGCTAGGGAAGAAATCACCAGTGCTGGGATCAAGGAAATTTGCGTAAAATGGAATGATGTGCAGGAATTTATCGAGAAGCAGCATCCTAACAAAGTTGTGGCTAATAGGGTCATTAATTTAATGAATGACACTATGCTAGCGCATTTTAGAAAAATTTTGATTAAGAGAGTAAGACAATCAACTTTAGACCACTTTCTTGTTCCTTATCAAAAGAGACCTCGATTCGAAGAAACTCCCGATACAGTGCTACCCGATATTTTTATGGAGGGGATTCCTCTTCCAAGCATTAAGCTCCGTAGAAATAAAGGTATGTACAGTGCTACTTTATTAAATAAAGTTTACATATTTGTTGCTGTAATGATAGATACTACTTTTTCTTATATTTTCATCAAAGAAAACCCATTTTACAAATAAAATTACAAAAATACTGATGGCTAGAACGGATTAATTGTATTTGCATTAATTTCTATGNTACTTTTTTTAGTTGTAATAAATTGAAAATAATAAAACTAAATCAGACATAATCTGCATATCTAATTTTAAAATTATTATTATTAGTAAAAAGATTTTTCCATTCTGCATCATTTTTATTATTACAATGCATGTTTTCAGATGGCTTATATGTTTATGCTGTATAATATCAGATTATTGAATTGCAAAAGTTTATATAATAATTTACTATACAATATCTTATTAAATAAAACTTTTAGAAGGTCAGACTGTATTGTTTCAAAGAAAGAATAGAGATGATGTCACAAGATTTTAATATTATTTGCTAACTTCCTTAAGTAGTTTGATAAAAACATATTGGATTGATGGATGAGTTTGGAACTATGATGATTTGAGTGCAAAATATAATAGTGATAACTCTGTTCTTGGAGTGTAGAGGTGAACAAGAAGAACAATACAGTTTTGGCAATTATTAGAATTTGTATAGATGTATATTGAAGCAGTTGATCACATGTAATAATACAAATCAGTCTCAATATATATAATCGCAAACAATGTCAGACATACCTCAATTCCATACTCATACAAAGCAATGGTTTTCAACACACAATAGTTCTAGATATCAATTTTACAATTAAAATCACTGATCAAATCTACTTTTTTCCCTAGAGTTTTTTTATCTTCTTTATAAAGTATTGAAACAATTGTTACATAATTAAAATATAATTTTTTAACTTAAATTCTATTTTTATATTGGCTAGATATATTCTCTATAATAGTCATTTCATTTTTAGTCCATAATTATCATTTTTAAATCTCATTTTTAATCTTGATCTTATCCAAAGATGCTTTGTATGAAAATATATTCTTAAAAAATATGTTTTTTAATTTGTTATTGTCCATTGTAATGTTTTGATATTGATATCACCTTTAATTTTAGTGTATAGATTGCAATAACAGTTAATTATACAGATAAAAATCAATAGGAAATATTATATTCTGACTGAATCAGATTACTGTATTATGATTCTAGATATTTACAAATATTAAATGTATTTATTTTTTTCATTTTTACAGTACCTCTTCCACCAACAAATGTTACTTTTCACAATGTGACTTCCTATTCGTTTGTTGTGACTTGGTCTCCACCAAGTAATTATTCTGAATTTGATAAATATCAAATTATGCTAAGCCATAAAAATTCAGTGAGACATACAATTAATGGAGATAAAGAGAGAAAAATAATATTTGACACAAATTTGAAGCCTGGTCACAAGTATACTGTCCTTTTAAAAACATATAGTGGTCATGTACATAGCCAAAATGTTACAGGAACTATAATTACAAGTATTGTATAATTATTCATTTAATTTATAGTTTTTATGATAATTAAAAATAATTTTTTATTATATAATTTTATAAATTTAGAACCTTTACCGGTTACAAAGGTTAATACATCTTCAGATGAAGCTTATATGTGGATTAAGTGGAATGCTCCAAACAATAGTTTGCAAGATTCATACATGGTAAATATTTTTTGAAGCTTGCCATTGTTATTCCAAGTCCTTAAGATAAAATTAGCAAGTTTTTCCTAAATTTTATCCCATAATTAGTATTTATTTATGTTAAAATTGTCTCATCCTCATTGTGTATGTATGTTTTTAATTATTATAGAACTTAATGCTATATCTATAAAATACATCTGCATACTCTTTCAGGTAAAATATCATGAATTAGATACATTTAATAGTGATGAAACCGTACAAGTTGTTAAAGAAACAAAGGTCCAATTACTGTATTTACTTCCTGGTCGAAATTATTCCATTAGTATCATGTCATTAAGTAATGGTGTAACTAGTGATCCTGTTACCATTTATGAAGTAACAAGTTAGTAGTTAAATTCAATCTGTTTTATACAATACATTAAAGATTAAATCAATAATTAATTACAATTATTTGTGTATCTTCTTCCAGAACCAGCTTCTCCTGTAATCGAAAGTCTGATGCCTCTTAAATATGGATGGAACATTTCTTGGAAGTCCGATGTACGGAGTAGACATGACGAATATGCTGTGGTGATTATCCGAAATGACACAAAGCAAAAAGAAGAAAGGAAAACATTTAATACTTGGATAGTATTGAATCATTTGTATCCTGGTGCCAAATACAAAATTAAGGTTCACGCAATTAGTCATGGTTTATGGAGTGATCCACATTCTGTGATTAAGACAGTTTGTAAGTGATTAATTTTTGTGTAAAATCTGTATTTTTCACTATTGTATTTTATACTTATAAAGTTAATCATGTTTGTTTAATGTATACCAGTTTAACAATGAACCAAACAATTGAAAATTGTAAGCTATTTTACACTTATAATTCAATTTATTTATTATTAAATAAATTTGAATTGTAATATTAAAATAGTCTGTAATTTCTAGCTATTTTTATACATATCAGAACATAGCTTATTCTGCCAGCAATGTAGTTAAAAAATTATTTTTGAAATAATTTATATTTAAATTGTTGCAAAAAATTAAGTTTTTTTGAAAATAAACATTTTTAATTAAAGAAATGTTAGGTGATGATATATCATATAAAGTCAATTATCATAATTGATTTTACATAAAAAAATCCAATTTTAAAACCAATTCTAAAAAATTTGTTTTTATTAATTATAGAATTATTTTATATAATTTAGATGTAGATAGCATTTTTTCTTTATCAAATATCAGTAAATTTATTCTTTCAGTTTTATTAAAATGCAATAAATCATTAGAAAAAATGTTCTATAAATGTAAATTCTATTATGTAAGTATAATAATCAATGTCTTTCCCTTGAATATATAAACATACAATAAATGTTAACATACAATAAACATATCTTATTATCTTTTGAATATGCTAGACTAACTTCAAACATTAACTAAATGAATGAGACATCTATAGTGTATTATTATGACAGAATTTTGTTGAAAAAATATATATTTTATGATGTTAAACTGTGTGCAAAGAAATGCATAATTATTTATTTGTTTTTACTTCTGGAAAGCAAGTTTAATCATTGATCTTCTTTGTTATGTAACTAAAAATATTTTCTCTTGTTGCCATGTATATATTTTATTTTCTTTTATTTGAACTATTTCTTATTATCCTTTCTGAGCTTCTTATCTAAATAAATATTAATTCCTCTTATCTGGATTCATGCTATTTAACTAAAAATTTTTTAATTGTATCATCTCTGTTTGACACTTTCATTTTCATACTGATAAATAACAAAATCAATTAAAATGTTAAGACATATTTTGAATTTTTTTTAACAGTTCTTTATTAATGATAAAAATTTCAGGTCCTAAACCTCCGGAAAATTTAGAAATTGCCAAAGTAACAAATTCAACATTGTTGTTAAATTGGATAGCACCACATTCCCTAATTGATTATTATTCTGTTGGATATTATCCAATAAACTCTGCACAGGTGAAAAAAATTGGTAAGTAAGAATTTTTTATATTTTATTTTCATATTCAGCTTTATTATTTCCATTGTGATATAGGGTGCATGTATGGTATTTGTTCTCTGTATAGTAGACAGTTGCTGCAGTCAGATTTGGCCAAGTTTTATGACTGAATGTCTTTCTTGCTGCTAACTCTTTTTCTTTATCCAGACTTGAGACTGTGAGAGCATCATATTCTAGGTGGCAGCAAAGAAACAGCATCAGCTGATTGGGGAAGACATATTCCATGTTTTCCCCAATTGGAATGCAGTTCCATACTATAATTTTGGGGATCTGACAATCAGTGTGTTTAGGGTGGGCTAGCATATTTTATTTTCTAACAACTTTAATTGAAACTTTTAGGGTTGTTTTTATAGTTTAATAAGTTCATATTCACATTCTTTCATTTGTATGAATTACAATTCTTAAAATAATTTAATTATAAACAAATGTTTTTATTTCTTTCATATATTTTACAATAATCTTGCTTTAAAGAATAATTGGGTCAATTGTAAGGTAAAAAATTAAAGTAATTGATATTTTGTAGATTCTGTTGATAGAGAGTTACATTTTTATTGATATAGATCTAGATTTTCTGTTAAAAATTAATTTATTCATTTATGAATGCTTGCTTTAGTTCTTATACTAATAAGCAATAATTTTTAAAAAATCTAATTATAATTAAAGTATAAGAAACGAAAATTAATTACAATTCTTTTTTATTTAATAAAACCTCTTTTATACTTTTTTAGGCATTACAAATACTACAAATTATGAAATTAGAAATCTTATAGCAGGTGAGAGATATAATATAGAAGTTGTGTCAGCTCTCGATAACATTGAGTGTTATGATCCAGTGATTCTTCAGCAAACATTGTGTAAGTTGGTAAAATATTTTATCATAATCTGTATTTCCATGTATCTTATTTAAGAGGATCATGACTTAATTGGTGGGTCATGATATTTTCAAGGCTACAAAAACTATACTTTTTGCTTATTTTGCAGTGTTTCTGTATGCTGAAAGGAAATTGCCAATAAAAAAATGCTTTTTTAAAACTAAGCACAGATATATTTAAATTTTGTAATTTTTCTTAAAAATTACAATTAAAAAAAATTTTTTTTTCAGATCCAAATAGCATTAATAAAGAGTATATCCGTACAATACTGGATTCAAGAAACGTCACGTTTCAATGGAGAGTTCCTACAGGTCAAGTCGATTCATATTCTATAATGTATACCTCCTCTAGAAAACCAAAAGATCGACATACAATTAATGGAGAT